CCCCCCCCCCCCCCCATGATATTAAATTTGGGCCGAGTTTTAAACGTTAACGTTCACGAGTTAGGGTAAAATATTGGTAAATTCAAGACTCTAGCTAGCCTTTTAGTTCTTCACGATTCGTGGCACGCATATTAATCACGATTTACGGAATGGTATTTCTTTAAATCACGAAGCACGAATAATTGCTAATCACGAGTCACGTAAATACCCTTGCCCCCCCCCCCTCATTTGAGTTGTCTCAAGATGAAGCAGCCATATTTTAACCCTGCATGCGTAACTGTACCAATTTGGCTGCCACATTATTTAACACCAGGTTCATGTGCGCTTTTTACGAGAGTGTGGTGCTCAAATTTGACGTGGCATGCAATGATGGTAGCTCCCTTCAGTTTCGGTATTTGGTATCGCTAAAAGTTTGCATGCAAGTATGAACCTCGAGGAATTCGTAATTTCCATCTTTGGGCGTTGTTTCCTGTTTCCTGTCATAGAGAAGTGTGGGTTCTACACGGCCAAAAACGCTGAGCCTGCTGTTCTTACTGTACTGTACTGTACTGTACTGTACTGTACTGCACTGCACTGCACTGCACTGCACTGCACTGCACTGCACTGCACTGCACTGCACTGCACTGTACTGTACTGTGCTGTGCTGTGCTGTGCTGTGCTGTGCTGTGCTGTGCTGTGCTGTGCTGTGCTGTGCTGTGCTGTACTGTACTGTACTGTACTGTACTGTACTGTACTGTACTGTACTGTGCTGTGCTGTGCTGTACTGTACTGTACTTTACTGTACTGTACTGTACTGTACTGTACTGTACTGTACTGTACTGTACTGTACTGTACTGTACTGTACTGTACTGTACTGTATTGTACTGTACTGCCTGTACAACAGGTTGCAACAATATTATGCTGACCTATTTTTTACAGTTAACAACATTGAACAATATTATTCATCTTGAATGGGGTGCAACAATGCTGAACAATATTGTTAACATTCGTGAACAATAGGTGTGGCACAATATTGTTGCAACCTGTTTTTATCAACATTGCAACTACAAGTTCATGATTTTTACGCGTGTATGCAGGAGAGGAAAAACGTTTTTTTTCGATTTAGAATAGTAGAGAATTGTAGATTACATTATTAATAAAAGATAAACTGTCAGATAAAATTCGTTCTTCGAAAATTTGTGGTTGTCATTTTACCGGGAAGTTCTTTCTTATATTTATTCAGTTTTATAGGCAAATTACATATGTTCGCAATGGTCTAGTCTAGCAAACAACGAATTCGATTAAATTTCCCCATTTCAGCGTTTTATCCCCATTTCAGCGTTTTATCCCCATTTCAGCGTTTTATCCCCATTTCAGCGTTTTATCCCCATTTCAGCGTTTTATCCCCATTTCAGCGTTTTATCCTCATTTCAGCGTTTCAGTCCTCATGTCAGCGTTTTATCCTCATTTCAGCGTTTTATCCCCATTTCAGCGTTTTATCCCCATTTCAAGCGTTTTATCCCCATTTCAGCGTTTTATCCCCATTTCAGCGTTTTATCCCATTTCAGTTTTCGCTTTCAGTTTAATTTCCGTTTCCGCGATTCAGTTTTAGCGTTTTATCCCTACCCTTTTATTATGTCTGCAATTGATTTATTGGCCAATTCCTTTGCAGTGTAATTAAGCGATAGTAAAAAGGCTATTTGATCTTCTATTATGCTTCGCAAGAACAGAACAATCACATTCATTCCCACATATTTTTAACCACTCATCTCGTGCAACACATACACAATGTAAATCATAGATTTTCCAAAACCTGTGGGCCCAATTGCAATTACATCGCGATTACAAAAAAGTTGGATAATTGTTTGGCGTTGTTCGCACTTTAAAAAAACGTTGTAGCCCCCTTGTCTTAAAGAGTCTAAAGCTTTCGAAATACAATGCTGAACAAGCGCACTCCCTGCGTAGCCATATTGCCATTATTGATTAATATTCGACGTGTCAATCAAAGCGGCTATCCAGCCAATGGGAATTTCGCGTCGTTCAGACGACTCAAAAATACAAAAAAGCATAGAATATTGGCTGGCCGTATTTCACTCTGGTCCGCTTGCTACCCCTCAGTAGACGTCCGCGGCAAAATAAGCGGAATGGTAATGCCTAATGGTAATGGTAATGGTTTATTGACACATGCATTTAGTGGCAGTTACGCTAATTTTAATACAAAGTGTTTACAATATTTGGATATAAAAAGGGTATATATTCTATTTATTTACATGTCATTCATTAAATATAAAGTCTTACTAATCTATATCTATTTACGTTATGTATAAAAACTACTAATGCATACCTATTTGTACATTATCCAACTGATTAAATTCTAAAAAGAAATATGATTCTAATCGACCAATTTAGAATTATACAAGTATATAGAGTAAACCAAAGGACTATTAAAACGTTCGGTTTTACAAGAGAAAGTATATAACCTCTGACTATTAATTCTTGTTTCCTTTTGCCTAATGTATTCTAGTTTCTTTGGTAAGAGGTTTATATGAAGTTTATGGTTTGGTTCCAGCATTTTTTGTTGTTAGAGATATACATAATTCGTCCCTACGTTCCTCCAAACTACCAAAGTTTGTAACTTTGTCTCAGTTATTGCTTGGTCGTAGTCTAGGTTTGGGTAAATTATTCTAAGTACTCGTTTTTGAATTCGTTCAATGCTCTTTTTCTGCTCCTGGGTTAGACCTCCGTTAAATCTCTGCACCATATTCTAGAATAGGACAAATTACTGAACAGTAAAATGCTAACAAACATCCATGGGGGCACCATAACTCTTCAAGATCTTTAATAAATACAGAGGCTTGGCTGCTTTCCTTGTGATATATTCCGTATTAGTTTTCCATTTAAGATCGTAATCTAACCATATTCCCAGTAACTTACATGACTTTGTTCGAGAAACATAATGACCACCAACATGAATTGGGGGTATAGGGGATATATTTTTCCTAAACGGCTAAAGTCAATAATCATCTCCATACACTTTTTATAGTTTAGTTCCATTCCTTCGTCCTTTGCAAACTGTCCCTCCTTGTCTACGTTCAATTCATTTGAGTATTACCGATGGAGATACGGTAGATACCACCTAAATGGCCACTGACATTGATTACTTCCGATAATGTTGTGTCATCCATAAACATCGCTACATGATATGTAATGCCGTATAGAAGACCAGGATGTAGGCTACATCCTGGTCTTCTATACGGCATTACATATTTGATCTTGGTTATTGGGTATAATAGACGTTGGTAATTGGTTTATTACACTGGCCTGTAGGGCCAAGTGTCTTAAATCCCCCTTTTTGTGTTTTTTTCGTAGTCGAGAAATCGAGTTTGCGTTAGCTCATCGCAGGCTCATGGTGCAACCATTAAGCCAAAATGCCATTGATTCCCTCGGTTCCATGATTTAGATAGTATAGTAATAAGTTCGGTATTTATGTACGTAATAGCCGACTCATGCCATGCTTGTGGTACATTTTCGTTTATTAGCCCATACACTTGTACGCACGCGCACAATTCCGAACTCCAATGGCGACTTTTCACAGAGTGATCAAACTATATTTTACACAGTTTCGTTGAATTTTAAAAGAATTGTGCCGGTTTCCTATGGAATTTACGTTGTGTCGAACTCTGGACTTTCTTGCGTGTTGAATTAATGTGTTTTTCTTTGTATAACCGCTCGAAAACCACAAAATTTGGACCCAGCGAATTTATACAATATATAGAAGGATATTTAAACAAGGACAAGTTAAAGGTTTGACAGTTTGACTTTTTAATAAACAACAATAAATATACGTCGTGGACTCATAATTACATCCCTTGTGTACTTAATTCCTTACGATATTTTTAGTCAAATGTCGACAATATACCTTTAAATACATGTATTAAAATCCGTGCAGTACTAGAATTAGTAGCGCTGGCCGCTGGGTACGGAAATTTTAGTACTGCGCGAAATATAATCCGCGCGAAAGGCTTTGTCATGTGGTAGCTATACTAAAGATAAAGCGTGCGTTCAAAATACCAACAAGAACTGGGACCATTATTGACATGTATGGTTCTCATCTGCTAGACTTGCCACAAGTCAACCTCGAAGAAACGTGCGCATTTCGTTCGAGGTCGACTTGTGGCAAGTCTACTCATTTGCCTAATACAATAACATTTAGTTCGACGCAAATTTTAATACAAGTATGGTATCATATTTCATAATATAACAAACAATGTAAACTAGCCATGGCCATACATTTTGCCGAACATAACTTCGGCCCCTTTGGACATATCTTTTTCGTAATAATATTATTGGAACCAGAATCGAAAGTGTTATTTTCAAGCTTGTGTCTTGGGATTTTTATGGCGATCAAAAGTCAAAACAAGGACGGCATGATTTGCACGTCCATCAATCGAGCTATAAACGTGCGTGCGAGTAAAAACCCGATATTTTGAAAAATTCAAAATAAATATTCCTACTCTGTGCTGTATTCAAACGAAACTTTGTACATGAAAGCGCTTGAATACAAGATGTATTTTACTAACATTGACTCTGAGCAAATTCTGAAGAGTTACTAAAAAATACTAAGGCGGTACATTGCCTGTTAATGGATTACCAATGTCAGATGTGTTTGTTAACCCATTTACTGACAGTACTCTGCCACTAACAAGTAAAATCGTCTGGCGTTACAGTGTAAATTGGTCTGGCGTTAGCCAGAGCAAACAAAAGTAGTGTGTATTGTAATAGACCTTAATATCCACTTTTGACCCAATGGCTTCATTTTCATGTTGGCTATTTACTCGTATTCCGTGCACACAATTTAAGAATGAGTTTGTGAATGGGCTTAAATGATGGACGAGAAGGAAACATTGGGGATATAACCAAGAATTGTCTAGAAGTATAAATTTTTGCATTCTGTTAATACGCCATAAAGGCCAGCACTTTCCTTGCGAAAGTAACTGCTAGTAATAGATTTGCACCATTACGTCTCCCGAAAAGGTCTTTTATTTTTTTAAAAAGTCCATAAAATTTGCTTGCGGTTTAAGATTTATATTCCTGCCTTTTGCGCCATAGCACGTATCTCGTTATTTTCAGGCCAGTGTGAACGCCTGAGTAGGCGTCTTGTTTTTATTATAAACGCAAAAGGACCCAACTTACTCCCTTGTGGAACGTCTCCCTTGATTCTTTTACAATCAGACTGTTCTCCTAATTGGAAAGACGTTACTTCTGATCTGTTATAAAGATATGATGCAAACCAACCAACCACAGACGGACGAACGCCGATTTGCATAAAATTTTCTAGCAGCACATTATGATTGATCAAGTCAAATGCCTTTCGAAAATCAAGAAACATAATACGAATAATTTTTTTTGGGCTTTCCATTGCCATATGCCATTTATGTAACAAATAAATCAACGCATATATTGTAGATGTTCCAGGCAGACCGCCAAACTGACTGCTACTGATCTTATACACCATTCCGGAAGGTGCTCAGTCTTGGCCATAGATGGCGTTATTTCAATGCTAGAAAGTAGAATCGTTATTTCAGTTCCTCTGCTATATCGTTTAATAAAGACCTTCATAAACTTTTGGGGGATTGCACCCATTAGGGGGCTAATCGTGTCCACCACTGGTTCATGCTTAGCTGATATCTATGGCTGAAATATAACAACATACATTTCCAAGATGTCAACGTTGTGAATGTTCAACATTCAACAAATGTTCTGGTTCAACAAGTTTTAAAATATGTGCTTGTATGGGGGTGTTGTATTAGCCATTTCCCAAAGTCCTGGACCTGGGTCTAGTCGCGCGAATCCCTTATTGGAGGGACAAGAAATATGACCGCACACCAGGGGCGGACTGGCAGATCGGGCTCACCGGGCAAACGCCCGGCGGGCCCCTTGCTTGCAAGGCCATTTTTGGCCCCTTCAAATTGGCCTAAATGTCATTTAAATAAATGGCTAGAAGCTCCAAATATAAGCATGAAAAGCAGGAAGCACGCTTCAACCATTTTTCTCGCCCGACTAAGGGTCCCTGCGATCTTTTCTCCCTAGTATTTTTCTTTTATATATACACAAAAAGATACTAAGGGATGGCTTTGGGG